GGCTGAGTGGTTTTCTCTAGTTGTTTTGACTTTCTGATCTTTTGTTCTTTCAAGTTACATCCTTTAAGATTGCCTATCTCTTACATGGTTGTCATATATGTTACTGTCTTGTTAGGTTTGTCCTTTAGTCTCCATACTAAGAATATAAATGGTTTATTCACCACCCTCACAACACTGTAGTATTCTGAGGGTGCCTGTGTACTTACTTTAGTGATGAGTTATGTATTTTCAAATCTTCTCTTGCTATTTCTTAGCATCCTTTTCTTCCAGACTGAAGAACTCCCTTTAGCATTTCCTGTAAGGCAGGTCTAGTGTTGATGAATTCCCTTAGTTTTTGTTTGTCTGGGAAAGACTTTATTTCTCCTTCATATTTGAAGGTTACTATTGCTGGATACAGAATTCTTGGCTGACAGTCTTTTTCTTTCTTTTTTTTTTTATATTTTTGGTGTGCGTTAGCCAGTATGGGGATCCAAACCTGTGACCTTGGTGTTACCAGCAGGCTGACAGTCTTTTTCCTTCAGCACTGTGAATATATCATCCCATTCTCTTCTAGTCTGTAGGGTTTCTACTGAGACATCTGCTGAGAGACATACTGGGGCTTCATTGAATGTTATGTGATTCTTTTCTCTTACTGCTTTCAGTATTTTCTTTCTTCATATTTGGTTTTTTAATAATTTGATTATTATGTGCCTTGGGGTGTTCCCCTTTGGACTTGATTGGCAACCTCTGATCTTCCTGTACCAGGATGCTGCCATCTTTCTCCATACTTGGGAAATTTTCAGTCATTATTTCCTTGAATATGCTTCCTAGGTCTCTTTTTCTTCTCCTTTGGGTACGCCAATTATTCAGAGGATATTTGCTGTTTCATTTTTTCTTATTTTTTCTTTTCGGTCCTCTGATTGGATAATTTCATATGTTCTGTCATCAAGCTCACTGATTCCTTCCTCTTTTGAATGTCTGCTGTTGCAGCTTTTTGTTTTATTTCTAGAATTTCTTTTCTTTTTTTTAATCAATTCTATTCCTTTGTCAAATTTCACATTCTCCTCCTGAATTGCTTTCCAGATATCACTTAATTTTCTATCTGTATTTTCGTGTGACTCCTTGAACATCCTTAAGATGGTTATTCTGAATTCTCTGTCAGACATCTCATAAATCTTCTTTTCCTCTGGGTGCATTGCTGGTGCTTTGTTGGTTTCCTTTGGTGATGTCATATTTCTCGGTTCTTCCTCAATCTTTGTGTCTTCGTGTTGATACTGGGGCATTTGAGACTGCTACCTCTTCCAGGTTTTATAGGTATTGTTTAGTGGTGCTAGACATTTACTGGTTAATATCAGAGCTTTGTCTCTGATATATGGTTTTTCTTCCACTTTGTGCTGTATTATTACCTACCACCACCACTTAAACTCTGCAGTGGAACTAATATGCTGCCCTCTGATTAATTCAGAGGGGAATTAATCAGAAGGGGAACTTCCTGTAGGGATCAGAACTTGAATTCTGTGCTTAATCTAAATTGCTGCTTTGCTGCTGATTCTCTGGAGAAGGCTTTTTGTGCAGATTAGATTTTAATTGTTGGCCTTTTAATCACATCTGGGTCTTGTGAGGTCTCCACAGATACAACTGGGCTATGTGGAAATTCCAGCCTGGGACTGAGTCTTTCCTGCAAACTGTGCCCCTGCAGTTCTTTCACCCTGACTATTCGCCACTGAGAAGCACCTGTGCCAACTGGAAGGCAGATAAGCTGACCACACTGTACCCCAAAGGACCCCCAGCGGGCCAGCCTCCTCCCTGCACTCCAAACACTTCCTGTGGGTCAGTCCATGTAACAAGTGCCTCACAATGTCTCACTGACCTCTGGGTGGCTCCTTTCTCCAGTCAGCTGCAGCCCCTCACTCTTATGCGAAACAAGGAGAATCCTGCCAGTTGCCTTGTTGGCCTAGGAGCTGGTACAATGTGCTCCAAAGCCCTCTTCCCCCCGCAGACTCCAAGCAACTTTACACAAAGGGTGCAGCTGTGGCTTTGCCACCTCCTGGAAGCCACTCCATTTGCTGCTGCTTCTCTCTGCTATGCACCATGCAAGAAGCAGCCGAGGTTCAGAATGGTCCCTACTCTCTCTCGCCACAGCCTCTCATACCTTCACAACTCCACGGGTCTCACCTCCTCTTTCCCTGAGCTCCAGCAAACAGCAGTCCTAGGATGGCAGTCTTTGCTTTTTAATAGTTGTAAATTGATCAGTTGTAGGGGGTAGCAATGCTGGGAATCATCTATTCCATCATCTTGATGATGTCACTCCAGCCCTTTTGTGTTTTTAGATGATTTCTGGGCACTTTTTAGCAAGTTAGCTAATAAATACTAATTTCTTCTGACTATCTGCTCACTAGAAACTACACTTTCAAAACGTATTTGAAACTGTTGTTTCCATTGTAAACGGGAAAGTGAATCTCATGGAACTCAGGTGCTAAAGCAAGTTAGCTAATAAATACTAATTTCTTCTGACTATCTGCTCACTAGAAACTACACTTTCAAAACATATTTGAAACTGTTGTTTCCATTGTAAACGGGAAAGTGAATCTCATGGAACTCAGGTGCTAATTTTCTTCCTTTTGGTTTACACTTATTACTTCACTGTAGAGAAAAATAACCAAATATTTTCTTTTCTTCAATTTTAATGTTAAATTTTCTGGGCATGCAGTATCTATGTAATCATTAAATTATTATCCTGCATGTCACTTTAACAAAGGGTATAACTAACGTTAGAAACAGTCTCTAATTTCCAAGTTATCATTGAAATAAACAAGTTTTAATTATTAAAAATGGTCTATAAGACAAATCAAACATTATTATCAAAATTTGACATTATTTATACATTTGAGTTACAAATTTCAAAAACTAAAAATACATCAACATTGATTATTTATTATCTCCATCCTACAAGTGGTACGAGAGGATATTATTAATTACTATTTATGAACATACATCATAATGTTCTAAAATATAATAAATAAAGCAATGATATTGCAGATAAAAAGACAATTATGCACAGCATAATTTAACTATAATGTAATTCAATGCAAGCATTAAAAGTCACTACATTTAAAATTAAATACCTATAGTTCCATAATGTGGTATTGAATAAACGCCTGTATGAGGGTGTATTTGTCTATTTCTGTTGATTATAACATAATACCTGGAACTGGGAAATTTGTAAAGAAAACTAAATTTATTGCTTACAGTTTTGGAGGCTGGGAAGCCCAAAGTTCAGGGATCACTTATGGTGAGGGTTTTCTTTGGTGGTGACTTTGGTGATGCAGGGTCTCACGTGGTGAGAATGGCAGAGCAGAGAGAGAGAGAGAGCTCCTCCTGTGCTCTCCTTTTAAAGCTGTCTGAACCATGCCCACAACCACCATTAAACCATCAACTTAATCACCTCTTCAAGGCCCCACCTTTCAATTACCATAATAGGATTTCCTACCCTTAACAGTTACAATTGGGAATCAAGCTTCTAATATATGGACTTTGGGGGACATAATCAATCCACAGCAGAGAGCTTCTTATTTATACCACCATTCTCTCTTTTTGGAAACACTTTCTGTATCTCACTAAATTAGAGGTGTTTTGCACATATTTGTGAGTTTTAAAAAGAAAGGAAAGCCAGCCTGATTATAAAACTGTTATTATTTCTTGGCTGATGAATGTAAGCATATTATAAACTAATATATCAAGGCAGCAATTTCCAATTATTACCACATAATCAAAGTTCATCATAGGTGGGGAGAAAACACTAAAAAATAAGAAAAAGTTATTTAAAGGGTAAAATACATATATTACATGAAAAAGAAATGAAATAGTTACAAAAAGAAAAAACACATTTTTGCATTTATCTCTAACGAAAGAATGAAGAGGTTCAAAAAACAGTAATAATAATAAATAATTCAAATCTATCCAATGTATGAAAAGATAGAAAAAGGTGAAACTAATGAAAGAAGAAAGGAAGAAATTCCCCACTCTTGGCTGAGAAGAGATTGACTGCTAAAATTAGAAGGAAGACTAAATTAAAGAAATATAGTTTTACTAATCTCAAGAAAATTACAGCAAATAAGCACAAAATTAGGCTTCAACTAATCCTCACCTATCCTAAATTCTAAATTGAGAGAGTCAATCTGAGTGTGAATATGTCGAACAGTCATGAATCACTTACCGACAGGAATACGTTTTGAGAAATGCATCTTAGGAGATTTCCTTGTTGTGAGAACATGAATGTATTTACATTAACAGAGATGGTATAGCCTACTACCTACCTAAGCTATCTGATACAGTTGTTAAATCTTATAGGACCACTATCAGATAGATATGTAGTCCATCGTTGTCCAAAACATCACTATGTGGCATATGACTGTATTTTAAATCTCAGCTATGTAACAAAACATAGACTATATGGTCTTATTTGTTAAACTAATGATTTAAAGGTAAGAAAAAAAGAACCTTCACATTGACAACTGTCACAACTAAAATATTATCAAACTCCATAAGCGTATCTTCACAATGATTTTAAAATCATGCACCTTTGATTGATTATTTTCTTAATCAAAAAAAAAAAAGTTTCTCCTAATTTCACATTTTTTATTTATACTTTTTAAAAGCTTTTAAAAAGCAGAAAAATCATCAAGGGCAGAGACATCATGGCCCAAGGCAATTTTTTCCCCAACCTGACCCTTGCAAGGTTTTTGAAAAAATTTATTTTTATTTAGCTGGTTTTAATTATATAAATTAATACAGAACAATGACATAGATAATCCAACATTTAATATGATAATGAGAATATGTTTAATCAAAATTATCTGTCAATCTAAGTCATCTAATATAACTTTTCCACCTAAGACAAACTAACCGAAGAATCATATTTAAAAATCAATCTTAGTGCTACAGAAAAGCAAACATTTAATTTAGGCTAGATAGAGAAAGGTGCAAGAGATCTACTTAAGACTTTTCCCCAAAAAACTTACGGCTTTTTATCTCCACTACTAGGGAGGAAGGCTTTGCCTAGATTTTTTTTGGCTTCTTCCATCATATACCGTCTCCTCATTTGATTCAGATTTACGTAGCCTTCACCTTCAAAAATCCTTTCAAAATGGGGATCAAAATAACCTGCCTGGAGATCTGACAATATTTTGGATCCCCCAGATAGCATCTGTCTATTTTTGCTTGCAGCCTCATTAAAGGGTCCTTTAAAAACAAATTAGAAATATTATAATTTTGAGCTTACTACTCCTTAATTAAAGGACATGAAAAATAATTTAGAAAAGTTTTCAGATGTGATTTGGGCCAATATGAGTTTTGAGCTCCAGAACACTGTTTCAAAATATTCACTGAAAGCTCTGTGTTAAAGGGTATAGTTACAATAAAACCTGAGAAGTTCTCATTAAAACATTTTAACATTTAGGTTATGGTCCTGGTTATACACTGAATTTTAGACCTGGAAGATATCTTTTTTTTTTAAAAAAAGATGACCGGTAAGGGGATCTTAACCCTTGTCTTGGTGTTGTCAGCACCACGCTCAGCCAGTGAGCGAACCAGCCATCCCTATATGGGATCCGAACCCCTGGCCTTGGTGTTACTAGCACCGCACTCTCCCAAGTGAGCCACGGGCCGGCCCAGGAAGAGATCTTAAAGGTTATGTAATACAATGTTTCTCCACCAACATACTAGGAAACACTTTTTGTGTGCATTATCAGTGAGAGTGTGTGCATAGGTTGAAGAAAAGGGTGTTTCATACTGTCGCGCTATGGCTAATGTTGGAATCCTGCTCACAGAGCCAAGTGTCGGAGCTCGCAGACCCATCAAGCCCATTCACAGACTGGGTCACAAACCCTTCACATGCCAGGCTGGGTCCCCAGACCCCTCACATACCAGGCTGGGTCACCTACTACACGCAGGACTATGAGCTAGATAACCGGCATACAGGTCCTTGGAAGCCATAGACTGGAAAGCATGGCCACACACGCCAGGCTGCCCAAGGAAGTAAACTGCAGCCAAGGTGGCGTGTGCATGCGCACCAACTCCATCCCCACACACACAATTTGCTTACCAAGAATGCACCACACCACCCCCAACCTGTCCCAAGGTGAGGGAGCCTGACCAAACTATTGTATTTTCCCAACACATACTCAAAATTGAAGCAATTCCACCCTAGGTATATACTCAACACATCAGTGCCTATGTCCACTAAAAGACATGAACAAGAATATTCATAGCAGTTTCATTCATAAAATCAGAAATAAGAAACAGCCCAAATGTGCATCAACAGGAGAACAGGTTAAAAAATTTTGGTATTTATACAATGAAATACCAGTAGTTCAGTAATCTTTTAAAAGACTGTTTTCATAAATATTGTGAAATTCTTTTATAATCTGGAACTAGGAGAATTCAATTTGGGAAGTCTTTTAGAGATGCAAAGAATTTTTTGAAGTGCACACAAACTGTATTTCAACTGGTTATTGAAATGTGAATTTGTATTAAAATTGACTTTATAATTTAAAATTTTGAAAAGGTAATACATTCAAGTAGTTCCAAATTTTATAGCATAAACATTTTCACAGTAAGTCTTCCACACTCAGCTACCCAGTTCCTCTTCCACAGGCAACAATATTGATTTTGTTTTCCAGAGAATGTTTATGCATATTCAAGTGAATATTTTCATATATGCTTTTTTTCATTTTTAATGTTCAGCAGACTATATACGCTATTCTGCATCTTGATTTTTTTTATCTAACAATGTATCTTAGAGAAGTTCCCATATCAGTATACTCTTTTTTATTGTTACATAGAAGTCATTGGATACCCTAAAACTTAACTGAGACACTTAAAATGTTTATTTATTTTAGTTCTTTTTTTTATTTATGGGTTTTCTAAAAGTCCCTCAGCAATTCATTTAGCATTTTATCTTTCAGGAAAGTGATAATAAATGGCCTTCTTGGATACAAATGTAAATGCCGTTTGCACAGTGGAGGGCCCCATGTAAGGGAAAAAAAGCTAAAAGCAAAATATTCTGGGAGAAAACTGCCATACACCTTTGGAAAGAAGTAAAATTACCTATAAGGAAAATAAATGAGGGTAGAGTAGGCCAATATAATGAATTTCCTACTTTTATAAAATTAAGTTCTCTAAACTCTTGAAATTTCACAAGTTAATCAACTATGGAACTAAATGCTTTAAAATATAGGCCATTAAAAATATCATTTATCTTGAATATTAAATTCAAAAGTTCATATAGAAAATATCCACTATTCAGCTACAAAGAAAACGAAATATACTTACGATTAAATTGGGACACATATTTATCACCGACAGAGATATATTCCATCTCACTGAAGAGGCCAATCCTCTCCATATCCGTTTTCCCTCCTTCTGTCGGCATGGTTGCTTCTTGTGGTGCTGTTCTCTATCTTGATAACCTCAACAGATGCCTTAGGGCTACTTCTTTTATTGCAAAATCCTACCTTATATTGAAAAATACAGGGGGAAAGTTTAGGGAAAAAGTGATTACTAAATTTCAGTCTAAATAACTTTCAGTCTCAGAGTTTTAACACTCACATTTTTTTTTTTTTTTTTTAGAGTTTTAACAGATACTAGTCCCAAACTGTGTGGGGAAAGAATCTATGTGGGGGACTGAGGGAGAAAACTGGGATTCAAAATTATCACTCCTTGACTCTATGTGAAATGCCCACAAATTACAAAAGAGTGTGTATGATATCATTTGTCCCATTGTCATTCATCTGTTGGAGATGATAAAATTATTCCTGAATGGTGTAGTATAAATATTGAGTAAACAACATCCTTCTTTTGAGAAGTTCAAGGTAGATTTAAAAATCATAATTATGTAAGGTATTTGCAGTTTAGATAAAATGATTTAAACATCATGCATCGTCCTTCATGCTGAACATTATAACAGCTTTTCAGAATGCACGACACATCTAGGTATCGCCCTACAGTTCTTGTGGTTTTTTTCAAGTTTACATGAATGTAAGAAATGTGCGACTGGCAGAATTAGTTCACAAAGGGGATTGGCGCGGGGGGAGGTGTAGAGGACAATTATTCAAGCAAAATAAAAACAACAAAATAAAAAATCCACAATGAATTCTGAGTATTTTTTAAAGGGCAGACTGGAACTGTGAAATGATCACTTCAAACTAAGGTGAAATATCACATTAAATATGAAATTATATTTTAGAAATTAATTTTTAAAATTAGTTGTGTTCTAAAAAGACGGACTAAAGAGCTAAGAATACTTGCCTCCATATCGTCCTAATGTTTTTAAGCACCAACTGTCAGCTGGGCACTGGGCATGCATTAGTGAAAAAAATAAACAGTGGTTTATACTTCCCAGTTTATAATCCACAGTAAGAACCTTTCACCGTGAATTTAGAGCAAGTAGCTTCAATGAATCTCAGCACGCTTGCCTGTTTGGAACTGTGGCTCATCTGAGTGTGAATCACGGCTAATATGTACCAAAGGGGAAGTGAAGACTCATTTTAAACTAAAGCATAAGAAAATACAACTCTTCCTCCCATCTTACCTCTTCCTCTGATCAGGTGTGCTTTAAAACTAAGCACCCGTCATCTGCAATGTAGTACATGGATCTACATGGTATTTCAAAGCTCTACCCCACTGCCCACCCACAAAGGCTTCCTGTGCTGCTATGGGGACTTGAATCCTTTAAGTGGTCCACAACGTCCGCTATCAGCCAGCCTCATCCATCACTATGGGAAGCCCTCTCCCCGGCCCCCTTAGCTAAGCTTGTCTTCTTTCGCCTCTCCAGCCACAGGACCCTTGAATGTGCTGTTCCACCTTGGGCAGTGACTTCACTGTGCTGACCCTTCCCCTTCCCTCCTTTAACAACGATCCTNCACCTTGGGCAGTGACTTCACTGTGCTGACCCTTCCCCTTCCCTCCTTTAACAACGATCCTTTGTATTGCTCCGACGGTTCAGCTTCTTCAAACCCCTCTACCACAGGGCCATGGACTTCTCCTTCCAGGCCCTCATCATGGTTATCTAATGGGTCATTTTACCTGTGTCGTGTAGGGATCCTCTAATTAACAGCTGTTTGCCTCCATTAAACTGTTTATTCCACAAAGTCAAGAACCATAGTATGAGTTTTGATTTTTGTTTGGTTTGTTTGTTTGGTTGGTTTTTTAACCACCGTATTCCCAGTGTCTGCACAGCCTCTGGAACACAAATTGAGCCATGGAGGGAGAGAGGAAAGGAAAGAAGTTCTTGCCTTGAACTTTTCGACTAAATTCTCCTTGAGCAACATTTACAAACCCCTCCTTCAAGGCAAGTTCAAGGCAAGATAAAATGTTCATTTAACAGATACTTTGCAAGGGGAGATCCAATCAAGATGGCGGAATAGACGGTCCCCAGCGTCACTCTCTCCCACAAATCAACCAATTTACAGCTATAACAATGTAACATCAGCCAAGCTGGGACCACTGGAGCTCAGGGGAAGAGGAGGAGAGACCTACGGAGTTCATGAAGGGGGAGAAACTACAATGAGAGAAAGCAAAAGCTGCTTTGAGCATTTCGGGCAGCGGCTGCTTTAAGGCTGGAGCTGATGAGTGCAGGGAGCAGGAGCCAGCAGAAGCCACAGCTGTGACCTTCGGATGGCGTTACTTA